ATTACAGGGTTGGCTGGCTGGTTGGTTTTGGTACCAGGGATTGAACCCAGGGTTGCTTACCCACTATGCCACATCGCCAGTCCTTTTTTGGTATTTTTATTTAGAGACAGGGTCTTGCAGAGTTGATTACGGCCTCGCTAAGTCTGGCTTTGAACTCACTATCCTCCTGCCTCAGCCTCCCTAGCCTCAGAGATTATAGAGGTTTGCCACCATGCCGGGCTATCGGGTTTATTTAAAGCTAAACTCTGGAGGATAGTTAGAATTTTGATAGAGGAGATGAGAAAGGAAAGGAGAGAGAAAAGGATGAAGTTTGGGATGGACATGGAGCAGCGAGATGCTGGCCAGATGGGGGTACAGAGACCAAGGGAGACCAGAGCAGAGGGGAAGGAATCAGGTGATGCAGAGTCTTGGATGCCTCTGGGCAGTGATTGGACTTCATTTGGCAGGTGATGAGGAGTCACCCTGAGGTTTTTAGGTAAGATCTTGGCCTGATTGAAATGTGATTTATTTATGAACTTGTCTGTATTTTACTTTTGTTTACATTATGGAATTAATACATTTAACTATTAAAAAATTCAAGTGACACAGAAGCAAACAAAAGAGAAATAAAGCCTCCTTCCCAGTGTGCTGGTTGGAGTGTCAGTTGGCACAGCTCTTTGGCAGCTTCACCTAGAGCTGAACAGATGCCTCCCTCAGACCCAGCAGTTCCTCTCCCAGGTAGATTTCCAGGAGACACAGGTGAGGATGTTCCCCAAAAGATGTGCATGAAAACAGCCATAGCAGCATTGTTCCTTGTCCTAAACTGGAGGGGGAGAAGTGCAAAAGCCCATCAGCCGGACAGTGGATAAACCCAGGTCCATCTGCGCAGTGATGGCGAGCACCTGGCGACTCAGGCAATGCAAACGCACCTCACGTGGGACATGAACCAGAAGAAACCAGGCCAATAAAAAGAAGGCCACCCTCTTTATATAGCGTTCAAAACCAGGCATTGCAGAATGGCGTCAGAGACCAGCAGTGACGACCCTTGGAGCCAGTTGGTGATGGGAGACAGGGTGACCTTTGGAGCCAGTTGGTGATGGGAGACGGGTGCACGGGGTCCTTGGAATCCTAGGAATGCTGTTTCTGCATGGGGTGTGCTGGTGCAGTGGGTTTGGTTTGTGTAGATGCATGGAGCTCTGCACTGAAGGTTTGGGCACTCTTCTGTATACTTAGATCTTCAGTCACAAAATGACCTCTGCACACCTCCTCCAATGGTCTCCCTGCAGTCACTCACCACGAGCCGCTCTGCTCATATACTCCTGGATTTTTCTGTGTCTAAGATAAAGCTTGTGTGCTCTCTCTCTCTCTCTCTCCCTCTCTACACACACACACACACACAGAGCTATCTATAGCTCTACAGAAATGGCACCATGTTTCACATACTGCCCTGCAACCTGCTTTTTTTGAACTGCCAGGGTGCTGGGGGAGTCGTTCCGTGTGGCTGTGACGGAGCGTTTCACGGTGGCGATGTCGTGTAGTTAACGGGTCCCGTGTCCACGGCGGTCGATTCCAGCATTTCCCTGGTGTAGACGATGCTGCGGGGAGCCCCTTGGTGCCGAGTGCTGTGTACTTTTGTGGCTGTTTGTGTAGAGGAACTAGTGAGAGTGGCGGCCTTGGTCTGAGTGGAGATCTAATCTGTGAACGGCTGTGGCTGGCCAGGGGAGGCTGCTGGGAACGGTCGGTTGAAGCCTGAGGCAGGAGCTGCTTGGCGGTGAGGACGGACGGACGGGGAGGGTGTGAGGTCTGGGAGTATTGGTGGCCCGGGCTTCGTCAGGCCCGGCACCCGATGAGAGAGGAAAAAGCCGCTGTGTTCCTGGGAGGTTGAGTCTGGTGGCGGGAAGATGGGAACGTAATCAGAAGCTGACTGGGGAGTGGGCTGGTGGTGGGTGCAGGCTGCTATCTGGTGGGTAAGGGTGACAGCCTGGGGCATAGGGCGGTCCTGAGGTTGCTGGGGGGAATGAAAGCACCCAGTGGGTTCCAGAGAGGGGACCCAGGGACGGCCTGGCCAGCACCTGCTGTGTGGGGACGCGGCGGGCAGGAGAGGCAGAGGTGCCCACTGTCAGGGATGTCAAAGGCGGAGGGTCTGGAGAGACTCTGGGTCAAAGGATGAAGTCATCCGTGGCCGTTAGTCCCCCTCCCCGCTGCCCCGACGTGCTGTCATTACCTTCTGCACTAGGTCTGCCAGGCTCTCGACACACCTGTGACCAATCAGCAGGATCCTTGCCGGTCGCTGCCTCCCCTCTGAAGGTGAGCTCCGGAGCAGGAGCCGTGTCACCCTGGCTGCACCTACTAGCCCAACCGACATCAGGCAGCCTCACTCCCGGAGTTTACAGGACTCACACCCCCAGCCCCTACGGTGGTGGCGGCGGTGTGTGGTGATAAGGGTGTGTGACATCCCCTCTTGCTTACCCCTTAGCGGTCTCTGGAAAACATGCCCGCCCTTGGGTCACGTTCATCGGTCTGTGGAGGGGGAGGATTCTGCTGCCACACTGGGACCCACCTGTGCCAAGAGTTTTGAATGTCAACTCCTGGGGGTTCCGGCCTGTGTTAGGTGACATTTCCCCGGGCAGACCCTGTGATGAGACTCCTGTCCGGCAGGGCAGGACAGAAAGAAGGCAGCGGCCGAGGTGTGTGGGACTGACCCGAGACAGCACATGGATGCTGAGGTGGGCTGCCTAGTCCCTGACGCAGCCGGCTGGCGGGAGGTGGAGCCTCCAGAGGCTGGAGGAGGAAGCAGAGAGCCCAGAGCAGAGGGGAGCAAGCCAGGAGGAGGAAGTCAAGTTGGGCCTGGGCGGAGTGGGGCGAGGACTGACGGACGGACGGCAGGTCAGCCACACCAGGAGAGAGGAAGGCCCCTGGGGAGGCAGGGCCAGGGAGTGGAAAAGCCTAAGGCTGGGGAAGTCTGGTTCCCACAGGTGTTCCACACCTTCCAGCCAAGAGGGAGCAGGACTGTGCCCCCACGGGTAGGTTAGGGGGCAGGGGTGGGGAAGCATGGGCCCATCACACAGGGTGACCCACAGAGCTGGGTGGGGCTCAGTGGCAGACGCTTGCCTAGCATGCCTGAGGCACAGGGTTCCATCCTCAGCACCACGTAAAAGTAAATGAACAAATAAAATCCAGGCATTCTCTCCACCTACAACTACAAAAAAACATTAAAGAGAGAAATGTTTTAAAGAAACGACCAACAGAAGGTTGCCTAAGTTAGGTGAGTGCCGTTGGTGTGATTGGTTAGGGGGGTCCCTGGGTCGGAAGGTCGCAGGAGGGCATCAGCAGGACAGCTGGCCAGGGCGGATGTGGGGAATGTCAGCGAGTCTGTCTTGGCAGCGCTGCGCTACCCCGATTAGCACCTGCTCTGCCAGGCACTGGGGCAACGCCCCTCTTTCCACCTCCACCACGAGTGGTGCTGGCTGGCGTGCTGCCTCTGCCTGGGCCGCTGACGGCCACGCCAGGCTGCCTGTGGGCTGAGCCAGGGCTGCGTGGGGCCTGGGGCCGTGTGAACTGCCACCAGGCCCCAGGACACCGCAGACCCCAGGACACCGCAGACCCCAGGACACCGCAGATGTGAGGCGCTCTCCAGTGGGGCCGCAGGGATGGGGATTCAGTGCCCATCAAGCTTGGCGCCACCCTCTTCCTGGAGAGGAGAGCTGTCAGCACTAGAGGGTGGAGATGGTGGGGGGCTCCACCCAGGGCGGGTCTGAAGGCCCAGTGGGGGGCGTTTGCCCTGCCCACGTGACTGGTGTGTGTGCACATGTGGACAGCACCGTGTGCCTGCCAGTCTGTTTCCGTGTGTGTGTGTGTGTGTGTGTGTGTGTGTATGTGTGTGTGTGTACCTGCTGTACAGAGGAGCACAGAAACAGTAATGGGGTGGGGTGGGGGTGGCTGCAGCTACAAGTTCAGGAGAGAACCAATGGGAATGGAGGGGAACAGACAGCAGCCACCTCCCCACGTGTTCAGAGACACCAGGTGACACAGACGCCAAGGGCCAGTCTCTGTGTGTTTCTTCAGTAGGTGGGCGAAGACGTCTAATGCAAGTGCCTGTGTGTGTGTGTGTGTGTGAGTGTGTGTGTGTGAGTGTGTGTGTGAGTGTGAGTGTGTGTGTGTGGGGGCACACACAGGCACACATGTACACAGAATGGCAGACAGACCCGTGGAGACACACAGACACGCACACTCAGGCACTCCTCGACACTGTCTTTGCATGTATATTCCTGTGTGTGTGTGTGTGTGTGTCTTCCTGAGGACTCAGCATGTGTGTGTCTGAACAACATGACCACGTGTGGGAGTCAGAATCCCATGGGCACCCCTCTGGGAAACACTGGAGTGGAGAGAGGCCGGAGGAGGCCGGTGAGAGGTGTGCTGTCCCGGCAGGAGCAGGGAGGTGTAGGGCCACTGTCCCCTTGGGGCAGATAGGACGGTAAAGTGGACCCAGGAGCGGGACGAAGACTCTTGGGTGCATTCTGATGGTCCCACCTTACCGGCTATAGGGGTGAGGACGGGTGAGGACAAGTCCCTGACCTCGTACTCTCGACCTGGGCACTCAAGTGGAAGGAAAGTAGCATCCACCACCTCAGGGACGGCAGAGGGATCCAGGTTGCCCCCAGGGGGGTGTAGGTTCATTTAGCACTTATTATCGAGCACCTACAACAGGCCACGCCCTCTTCTTGGCAGAGGCTTCCAACTGTGAGCGAGGTGCCATGTCCTGGGGTGGGGGCGGGTTTACCTTCTTCACAGAGGACACTGGCCAACAGCCGGCGTGGTGGTAAGTGCTAGGCTGAAAACCCAGCAGGGGGTTAGGGCAGAGAGGGGCGGGCAGGGACCAGGGCTGCTGTTTCGGAGTGGCCAGTGGTGGTCCAGAAAGGCCTTTGGTCAGATGGAGTTTGATCACAGGGGGAGGAGGTAGTAGGACCAAGCTCACAGTCTTCATCCTCATGATGACCCTGTTGCTCTCCCATTTTACAGGTGAGGAAATGGAGGCACAGAGAGGCTGAATATTTGCCCAAAGTCTAACAGCCAGTGAGAAGGACACTCAGGATTTGAACCCATGCCATTTAGTTTCAGAGCCAGTGGTTTCAATCATCGGTCCTTGGTTGGGGGTGACTTTTGCCCCACATGGGATATTTGGCAGGGTCTGCAGATGTTCTTGGTTGACACTTCTGGACTGGGGGCGCCACTAGCAGGTACTAGGGAGAGCCAGGAAAGCTTCTAGAAATTCCACAGTGCACAGAACAGCACCCACAGCAAAGCAGCATGCCACCCACAGTGGCATCATGCTGGTCTGAACGCACAGAGCCCCTGGCAGAGTGCGACGCATAGTAAGTGCTTAAAAACTAGCAGTTGAAGACGGGGAGCCGACGATGGAGAAGGTTCCACAGGGAGAGAGTCCATGGTGGAGGATTCTCCAGATCAAAGAGCAGGTAGCCCCCCCCCCAACACCGGGGAGGGTGGGGGCAGGCGAGGCCTGGGTAAGCAGGAGATCGGGCTGGGTTGGGGGCGAAAGCAGGGCCGCAGCCAGCTGCTGAAACGCTAACCAGCTAACTGCCTCTCTCTCTCTCTCCACCCCGTCCTGGCCTCTCTGCGGGAAGGAGACAGCCGGAGGCTGAAGGGGGCCATCCAGAGGAGCACGGAGACAGGCCTGGCAGTGGAGATGCCCAGCCGGACCCTGCGCCAGGCCAGCCACGAGTCCATCGAGGACAGCATGAACAGCTACGGCTCGGAGGGCAAGTGAGTGTGGGCCGCGCCTGCCACAGCCACATGGCTCTTGGTCTTCTCGGTGGGGGAAGGACAGGCTGAGCAGTGCCCAGGGGACTGACCAGGAGGCCGGGGTCAGTTCAGGCTGGCAGGGGCTCTGGGCTCCGGGGCGTGCCCATCTTGGGAAGGTAGGCAGCAAGCCGTGCAGCTCCCAGGGCGCAGGCTCTGGTTCCTGGTGGCCGGCTCCACGACCTGGCAGCGGCGTGACCTTGGGGAGGTCACATCCCTGAGCAACAGCTGCCTCATCTGTAGGGTGGGGTGATGGCACCAGCCACAGGGGTTCTTAGGAGTCAGACACTCACGATCCAAGGAGTCCTGGGTTGTACCTCTGAAGAGCACAGAGCAGCTTGGCGCGTCCGTGCCCGTGTGGGTGTCGCTGAGCAAAGGCGGGAGCAGAGAGGGCATCGTCATTGTTGTGTTCCGTTGTCTTAAATCCTAGTTGGATTTTAAATGTGTCAAAGGCGTCTCATGCATGTCAGATCCAAGACCTGGTGCTGCCTGGCACCTGATCAGTGTTCCCCTCCTGGGCTGCACACTGGAGTCACTGGGGAACTTGTCACAAATGCAGATGGCAGGGTCCCGCTTCTTGAGTCATTGAATGAGAAACTCTGTGAAGAGCTCCTAGGAGCTCCGTCTTTAAAAGCTCTCTGGAAGAATTCATCTTGATTCATCTTGCTTTCCCCCCAGTAAACACATGCATGGATACACTCACACAGTTACACAGACACACACTTCTTCTAATGGCAAAGGGCTCTCAGATCCCCAAAGTCAACCCATGGATACCTGGCAAAGACCAAAGCAACTTCCATATTGTATAGATGACTAAAGCACTCAGAGAGGTTCAGGAGCTTGCCCTGGGTCACACAGCATGCTAACGTAGGTCTGGAACACAGGGGTCCTGACTCCAAGTGGGGGCTTATTCCACAACAGCAGATTGCTTTAGAGTCCTCTGAGTCAGGGAGGGGGCCTGGGGTGTCATGACCCATGCTATGTACTTGAGGAGACTGAGGCTTGGAAAAGTTAAGGTCTGTATTATCCTGTACAGATGTCATTAGATACACATGGCTATTTAAATGTAAGTTAATTAAAATTAAGGAAGATGTATTATTCTGATCCTCTGTCGCACTAGTGCTCAGTAGCGAAATGTGGCTCATGACAACTGTACTGGGCAGTGCGGAGATGGAATAGTTCCATCATCACAGAAAGTCCTGCTGGACAGCCCTGGCCCGGTGGCTTGTCTGAGAGCAGACACCAGCCAGCGCAGGGTGGTCAGGCTCCCGATAGCCCCCTGGTGACTGCCCTCCACCTCTGGCTACAGCCCTCAGCGGGGGTCCTGGGGGCCAACACCTTGGTGCCTGGCCCCTCCTGCGCGGGGCATCTCAGGTCCTGTGAATGGCCCTGCCTTGGCAGATGCGGCTGGTCCACCCACCTCCGAGCGGAGCTTTCCGGTGGGCAGGAAGAGGAGGAGGACGGGCGGAAGGAGGAGGAGGAGGAAGCAGCTGGCGTGTGTTTAACCTGCGAAACCTGGCAGGCGTCCGTGCTCGGGGGAGGAGCCAGGCACCTGGGGGATGGGGGTCCCCGCTGACTGACGGGAGTCTCAGGGGTCCAGGAGGCTCAGGCCACAGTCCTGGCTCTGCCCCAGACCTCGGCAGGCCTTAGGCACACCCATGGGCTTCTTGAAGCTTCAGGGAAGCCGGGCAACACCTTGTTGGCCTCACACGGGTCAGGAGGACCTGGGGAGGGGAGGCCAGGGGGGCCCTGTGGCTGCAGCAGGTGAGGAGAAGCGTATTCCCACTTTACAGAAGAGGAAAGGAAGGCTGGGGGTCTCATGACTCACCCACAGGGAGCAGGTCCTAAGGAGGTGGTGGCTGCCTGTGACAAGGCCCTGGAGGGTGGCTGTTGGTGACATTTGCTGAAATGTGCTTGCAGGGACCTGCAGGTCCCTTCACAGACAGGTTCAAATCTGCCCTGTCCCTTCTATGTCATGGGTTCAAAGCCAGGACTCAGCTGGCAGACATCCCTGGCTTGTGACTTGTTCCTGCTCCTCAGTAGCCATGTGGCTTTGGGAAAGGTCCCTTACCTCTCTAAGCCCAGTTTCTCCAGTTGCAGAATTAAATGAGCTAATACATAGGAAATACCTAGGACACCAAACATCACGTGGCGAGCACTGGAATCATGCACTGTTAGTATTTTGTTGTTAATTAAGTTTGTTGTTAATTAAGCCACTCATGGGTATTTTGCTGCTTGGGGTCAATTACATTCTAACAAATACCATGAGCACCCCACATAAAGTGCTTAGCACAGCGTAAGCACAGGGAGAGGTTGGCTGTGGTGACTGATTATTAAAGGTTTGGGGTGTGTGGTTTGATTCCAACTGAGCAGGATCCGGGGGTCCGAGGAAGCTGGGTTCAGAAGTGGGGACAGTCTTGCCTCCTGAGAGAGACTGAGTCTAAGTGGAGACTAGCTTAAGGCTGCCTCCTCACCCACACCTGCATGAGGGAGAGACATAGAAGGGACAGGGTGACATGAGCCATAGCCAGCCCTCTCCTTGTTCTGCAGGTGTTAGGGGCATTGTTTGGACCCAGATGTCAGTCTCTGAATCAAGAAGGGGTGTGACTGTCCTGCCCTCTTCCCACCCCTGGCTTCTGCCAGCCCAGCCGAGGCCGGTGGGGAGGCAGCCTCCCTGGAGCAGCCCCACCAGGCTGCAGCCCCGGGCGCCGGGCCTACCTGAGCTGCTGCCCACTGGGTGTGTGTATTCCTGCAAGGGGGCACAGGGCGCTCCCATGTGAATTTGCAACAAATTCCATTAAGCACCTGCTGTGCACCAGGCAACTGGGCGGGCGCTGCAGAGGCCCGGCCCTCCACGGATTTCCTTCGCAGGGTGCTGACCAAGTAGCTGGCAGTGACCAGATCTCAGGGCGGGGAAGGGGCACACCTGTGTTGGGGCCCTCTATCAGTAAGGGTGCCTTGGGCTCCTCGTTACATAATGCCAGTGGACGGTGGCTCCTGACCTTGCTGGTCAAGGTGACCTCTGTACTTCCGCAGCATCTCATCTCCTGGGCGCTTGTTAGAAATGCAGAATCTCATGCTCCAGCCGGGGGCCACTGGGTCATAATCTGAACTTTAACAAGTCTCCCCGCTGGTTTGTGTGAGCGTCAGGGTGACACCTGGCTTCGTTGCATTAGTGGCCACAGGTGATGCTTGAAGAGAACAGCAAGTGCCGGCACTGTGCCATACAGCCACATAGAGTGACAGTTAAGTCTCACGACAACCTGATGGTGGTGGGGCTGTTTGTTAATCCCCGTCCTAGACATGAGGATGTGGAAAGGGTGACTGGCCCAAGGTCACACAGTGAGTAAGTGGCCGAGCCAGGATTCAAAGCCAGGCATTTGTCTTTAACAGTCAGGCTCAGCTCTTTCATTTAGCAATCCCCTCTGCGAAGTAGATGCTTCCTGGATGGTATGGTGGCGTGACGATGCCACCGAGGACCCAAGTTCCCTCCACCTTTCCCTTCTGCAGACCCTCCTACGTCAGACTAGTTATGGCTTATCCTCGGGCTGGGGAAAGGCCTCTTCTTCCTGAGCCCCTTTCTGCCTTGTCAAAAGTTGGGATTCTGTATGTGAAGGGTGGAGGGACAACCAGCCAACCGAGCTTCCGCACTGCAGACAGGCCCATCTTGCTCATATGAAGGGCAGGGGTAGAGTTCAAGCCCCTGAGAAAGGCCCCTGGGTACAGCACCTGCTCCAGCCTGAGATGCTCCTGTTGACTGACTGCCTTAGTTTAAGGGTTTTCTCAGAATCAGATCTGAGACCTGGTGCAAGGAATCCACTTAGGAGGTGATTCTGGGAAATCATGGCAGAGGATCGTGTGAGAGAGACAGGGCTGGAGAGGCACGCAGTAAATGAAGCTGTAAGAAGCCAGCTCCCATCCAGTGGGGTGTCCCATGCCTATAATCCCAGTGACTCAGGAGGCTGAGACAGGAGGATGGCAAGTTCAAGGCCAGCCTCAGCAACTTAGCAAGGCCCTGTCTCAAAATAAAAAGTGAAAAAGGGTTGGGATATAGCTTAATGGTAGAGCATCCCTGGGTTCAATTCCCAGTACCACAAAAGAGTGTATGTGGGGGGTGGGAGCAGCAGCGGCAGCAGCCAGCCAGCCCCACTGCAGCAGTGTGACCCGAGTCCTGCTGGGGAAGCCGGCAGTTACCCCCAGGAGGTGAGGGCAGAGGAATGTACACTCCGGCTCTTCTCAGTTACTGACTGGAGGCTGCTCCTTTTGGGAGTCTTGACCTTCTTGTAGAGAGAGGGGCTAGAACCAGAGTCCTTTAGAGGCCACAGAGACTTAGGCAAAGGAATGTCACTGCTGCAATTAGAAGTCGTGGACACTAAATAGTTTTTTGGGGGGTGGGCCCACAGAGCCACGCGCTGCCTGAGGGCAGAGCCTCCATCTCCCGCTGCCCAGCCGAAGCCTGGGACTTCTCTCCGAGGGCTCCCCTCTCTTTCTCTTACTTAATCCACAGTTGGCCCCCCATTTTACTCTCGATTATTCCTTGAATCCATCCATTTCCCCCCATCTGCATCCGTGAGTGGCCCTAGTTGAGGCCACTTGTCACTCTCCCCTAGATACCAGCAAGTCTCCTTCTTGGTCCAAATTCCCACTCTGTCACCTCACACTTTCTCTGCCTTTCTAGGCCTCTCCTAGTCCCCAGCCTGGCAGCCTAGCCCACCACCCCAATCCCTCCACACTTCCCCACCTCGCCCCAAGTTTCCGCGGCCGTTGCCTCCGCGCCTGGCACTCCTTTTTCTGCCTGTTCTCCTGCTTCGCCCTCTGACTCATGCCGCCTCCAGATCTCAGCTCAGAACTGGCACACAGGCTTCAGCTCATGTGCCAACTCCAGCTAATTGATAGTGGCTCCCTGGAGTCTGTGTGGAGAAGGGTTCTGGAGCCAAGTCCGGGCCTGGCAGGGCTGAAGTCGA